GTCCAATACTACAATTTCACCAAATTACAGCTCTATCAGAAGACCCCATGCAAATTGTATTTTTTCTGACGGAGTCTTACCCTCATAATAAATAAAAATTGGAAAAGTGCGATCGCATAAATAAGAATAATGTGTGCTTTTAATAAGTAAATAATAAAAGAAATGGTAAACGGAACAATTTCCCAAAATATATTAGCAGTACATGAATTATTAAGTCTTTTCAATTAAATCATTCCTTTCATTGAAACGTGTATACGCAAAAAAAATATTGCGAGGTTTTTTTAAAGAAGAAATTCTATTTTATCGATCTTCACTTATTGACAAGGTTGGGAAACTACCATGAAAAATTAGGTTACAGTATATCAAAATTATATGAAATGAAAATTATTGGATAAGGTATTTATAATTAGTCAATATTCTGCGAAACATAAATTCCGTGACATACAAATTAATATGTTAAAAGTTTGTAAAATAAGCATTATATTAATTAATAATTATATGCAATAAAAATTATAAGAAATAAAAATTATATTTTATAAAATTATACAGAATAATAATTCGAGGATTTAAATTTATGTTATTTAAAACATATATAAAACAATAATTATTTCGAATAATAATTAGATTTCTTAAAAATTATAACAACTAAATATTATATTTTTAACAATTATATTACTTTCCATTTCACAACTTAAAAATTATGTTAATTTATAATTAGATTCCATAGAAATTATAGAAAATAATTATTATACTTAAAAAATTTATTATACATGCAATTTCATAGTGTGTAATTTATAGTCATTTATATTTATCATGCCTATTAAATCTATAAAATAAGAATTCGACTAAAGTAAATTATAATAAATATTAATTCTTAATATTAGAATAATATTAATATCAAATTATAGACACCTACCTTTTAAGTAAATGATAATTATGAAGAACAAAATTTGGAAATATGACAATTATAAGTATAATAATTTGGCTGAAATCATGCGCCCCCTTTATACTAAAGAGATTGTAAATTCGCTACTTTTAAATATGTTATTTTACAAATTCCTGCAAAAAAAACTGTTAATCTACTGAAAATTTGTTTTACAGTTTGGTAAATTCGATTGTCCGACGTTGTGTTTTTATTTAATAGTTGTTACTTTGTTTATTATAGTGACTATACACCCAGAAAAAAGATTTCTTTGAAGCAAAGAAATCGATTTTTTAAACTCTCTCTTTGAATGAAAGATAAAATTTGTTTGAGTTAAAAATAGTTTTCTTTACTTTTACGAAAAACAAGTTTCGAGGTTTTTTGAATCAAATCAATTTTTTCTTTGAATGATATTTTTGATCAAAAGAAAAATTTCTTTAAGACAAATAAAATGCCGAGAACATTCAAAGAAATTATTTCTTTGATTTATTTTCTTTGAATCAAAAAAATATTTCTTTAAATTAAAGAAACAACAGTCTCGCGCTGCTTATGTTTGAAATTACTTCGGATAAGTTGTCACCAGGGCGCGCAAGTTTCTTTTCTCGCTGACAAGTTTATTTACCAGTTCTATATAAGAGGAGACGATTGCATTCTTAAACTTAAAGACAAATATTATTTTTGTCTCATTTTTATCACACTCTGTTTTTAATAGAGTGTTCCAATTAAATTAATTCCTTTTCCTCCTTCAAACTAATACTTTAATTTTTTTTAAATTCTTGCCATGTGTTGGTATTTGTAAAATATTGATTTCAAACGTTGGTTCAATATTGGTAACCAAGAAATAACCAAGCGTTCATTTAATTTTGAACCGTTGGTAAATCATTTGTTATTAATATTGGTCCAATCTTTGTTGCCAATGAATAACCAAAGCATGGAATGTCATGCATTTGCCTTGGCAGCCAATAGTGTTCCAATATTTCATTAACTTAAATAAAAAATTTCTTAAATCAAAAGAAATATTTTTTCGACATAAACAAAAAATTTCTTAAATTTAAAGAAATATTTCTTTGACTTAAAAAAAATGTATTAAATTCTAAGAAATATGTCTTTGGGGCAACAAAAAACAGTTGAAGAAATAATTTCTTTAAATCAAAGAAACTTTTTTTTTGACCCTATAACAATGCACAAATTTCTTTGATTCAAAGAAACTTTCTTTAAATCAAAGAAGCTTTTTTCTGGGTGTATATTTAAAGATTTAAAAAATGACAAAAACAACGTTTGTACAATAGAAATATTTTAAAAGCAATGAAAACAAAAACAATTAAATTCTTCTGTCAATTTTTTAAACAAGAATATGCCACAAATGCTATATATTAAAGGTATATACTTAAAGGTGTATACTTGTACAGCTCTACTGCAGCTGCAGGTTGTCATGGTAACACATAAGAGTAAGAAAGTCAGAAAATTCAAATTAAATGTTTTTTCTCTCTTACTCTCGTAGCATATCTGAGATAGAGAGCCTTTACAAATAATTAATAATTTACAAATAATTTTTAAATATTTATTTTAAAAAATTTTAAATTCATTGTTTGTAATGTAAAAAATAATCATTATTATTTAGAAAACAACCTTCTAGAAACACAATGTAAGATGAACTAGGTTCCTCTCCATCAAAAAACTTTGTTCTTTCATATTTATATTGTACTTTAGGTTTATTTAATGAATATATATCCCTTTTGTTAGAAAAAATGTTTATTTTGGTAAAAAAAAGTTTAGTTGTTATGTTTTGTTCTACGTATAAATTTACGGATTCAGTTCCTGTAACTTTAATAACAATTTTTTCGTATGAACATTAAATTAAAATTTTCATGACAATTAAAACATTGCAACTCAATATAACCATAATGTCGTAAATAACTAAACAATTTCTATAATGTTCGAAATTCAAGCTTTACACTCGTAACTTATTTAACAAAAAGTAGCAAAAATTAAATTTGATGAATAAAATTCATCTTACAACGTAGAAACCATGATAATTTAAAGATCTTAAAAAATTAAACCAAAAAAGTTATTTTATTAATATGATACTTAAAAAAAATTAATAAAATTACTTATAAAATTGGTAATATTTTTTAGAATCTGACTATCCTACTTTTCATTATGCATAATGTGTAATTTTTTAAAATAATGTACGTAGATCATACAAGATACTGCAGATTAATAAAAACCATGTGCAACTTTTTCTTACGATAAAAGAAGAATATTTTTCTTTAAAATTTTTACTTAAATTTATAACTTATTTTATATATAGTGTTATTAACATGCAGTTAAACGCAGTAATAAAAACATTTTATAGATATTTTAACTATATAAAGTGAATTTTTACACAAAAACAGTATTTATATTTTATACGCATATTAGGAAGAACTTGTAGTAAGAGTTCTGAAAGGTCTAAGAAATTTTCTTGGAAAATATTAAATTAATTAAAAAAATAAATTAAACATAATGAGTCCAATTTTTTATCGGCACAGACTCTGTAAAATATTATAATACTAATAATAGATGCACTGCATTTATATATAGTATATTATATATATTTCACTATACATTTTATTTGTTGGTTTAATAATTTAAAAATCTTCCACGAATGTTTCTTTAACTGTTAAGATCATTATAGCTTTATTGTAAGTTCTTCCTCTGCAAGTATAAATTTCAAAAAAATTTATTTTAAACTATTTTTATATGTTTAAATAATTTCTCATAGAATAAAAGAAGGCTTTTTAAAAATTGTAATTTTCAAAATTAAGATAGTTAATAAAACTCTATTTTTATTTAAAGGACATTGAATTATTTTTCTAACAAAAATAGTTTATTATGCAGCTGTAGCTGTAAAAGGAGGTGTCTCAATTTAAGACGTTTTTGGTGTCTAAGGCACTAAAAGCGTCTCAAAATAAGACACCTCTCTTTATTGCAGTGATATGTCCAGCTTCATATTTAGTGACAAACACAGATCTAAAAATATTACTGCAAGCGTGATATCTCAAAAATACTTTAACTAATTGTTAAAGATGTTTTTTCACTACTAAATAAAAAGTTTGGCTTTGCAAAATTATCAACTTTTTTTTAAAAACATAAGTCAATATTTTTTAAATAAAAGAAAATTTCCTTTATTATCTGCTTTAGTTTTTAATAGTTAAAAGATCAACTTTCTTTTAAAAACATTAGTCAATATTTTCTAAATGAAAACAAATTTCCTCTATTATCTGCTTTAGTTTTTAATAGTTAAAAGATAGTTGAAGATTTTCTTTAAAAAGCCTTATTTTATACGAGTTATTTATTACCCAACTGTCACCTTCATAAAATTGTTACTTAAATTTATATATCTTATTTTAAATATTTCCAAATATGATTATACATGTTTTAAAATAGTATGAAGAAATAGTAATAAAATTAATTTATGAAAAAGTTACCTTTAATCATACACAGCACTGAAGTTTGTTTAAATTTAAGAGACAGTCTATGTACGCGTCACATATTTTGATAATTTTATTAATAGGAAAATTCATTTAAATATCTTAAAATATTTATATATATTATCTCAATTTATTAAAATAAATGAAACAAATTTTTTAACATTTTTATTTTATGTAAACAAAATGGTGACTGTAAGGGTTGTTTTCAGAAATATGGTTGACTTAATATATAATAATAGTAACTTATTTACAAAAAAGTAATGAAATAATAAATAGCTTACGATATTCTTTTATAACTGAAAATTTATAGTCTTACTATATCAGTTTTCTAATATTATGTTTGAACTTTTCGTTTCAGACATTTCTAACTTTAAAGATTATAATCAGATTTGTGCAGACTATCCTTACAATCTCTACTATTTTGACATACATAAAAGCCAAAAAAACATCAAATTTTTTTATTTATTTCAATATATGTGTGATAACATAAAAATTCTAAAATATTTAAATAAATTTTATTTTAAAATATGTACTAAAAAAATTTTCCATAAAATTAAAGAATTTTTTTTTGTGCTGTGACGAATTACTGAAGGTAGGTAATAATATTGAAAATAATTATTGTGTTTCTGATCTGTTGTTTCGATCACCTCTTTTGCAGTCGCTTATCTTAGCGGACATGTATTTCCATATTTTTTTTACTCTTACAGCCCGTGCTGCAACATTCAATTTATTTCCCTGGTTTTTAGTTATTTTGTAAAAAAGAGCATCTGTAACAAAGTTTATAAAACATTAACATAAGTGGATAAATAAATAAATAACTGAATGTGACGCGATCTGAATAAAGGGACCTTAGATGCATAAAATTATAGGTTATGTTTTCAATTTTTTAAATGAAAATACAAAAAAAATTAACTGTCAATATTAATCATTTATGTTTAAGTCTTCATTACAACTAAAATTTTTAATAAACACTGATTTTAATTTGCAATAAGTATAAAGAAACTTTCAATCAACAATAAATAACACTAACATAACCTGAAAGTGATTTGCTTCTAAGGTCCCTTTTTTCAGATCGCGTCACAAATACATACATACATACACTACCATCGGGAATTAATTAAGTAGAATTTAATGATGTTTCGAATGGTATATTTGTTAATTTTATGATATTTATATTTCCAAAAAAACAAGATTTAAAGATTGGTATGTTTATGGGCCGTGTGTGTGCAGCCGTACCGATAATTCCCGACAGTATAGTGTACATACATACATACATACATACATAGGGGTAAAAATAAAAAAATCGACAATATGTGCCCAACTTTTTAAAAGAAAATAATATCTTTGAAATGTTGAAAGAATTGTCTGTTTTGTTAGTTATGTTCTAAAATATGTCAAAAAGCATCAAAGGCAAGATCAAGAAAAACTTATTTGCTTAATAATATTTTTCTTAGTAAACATATATTTAATCTTTTTTAATATGATGAAATTTTACAAAAAAGTTTATAGTAATAATTGATTTTTTATTTTTACTTAGTTTAATTATTTAATTACTGAATTTACCTGTTAAATAATAATAACATATTATTTAGCGTGTTAATAGTACATTATGCAACAAGGGAGGTACGTCCGAGTTTTTTAATATTGTGCGAGGTCATAAACGAGGTTACCTCCCTTGTTCCATACTTTGCTTTATACAACAAAGGCGTATTATGGTTACTCTATGCTACCTGTACCGGTGCATGCTAAGTTCTCCCATATAACCCAGCTGGTCAATAAAGTAACCATTATCTCCCTAGGGCTATAATGATTTCTTTATTGACTGCTGGGTTATAAGGGGGAACTTAGTACGCGCCTGTACAGGTAGATAAAGTGACCATAATACGCCTGAGTTGTATAAACGTTTTAACATGCATATATCTGAGAATGTTTTTTGATATCTAATGAAACAGATTTCAGAAATTTTCTTTATTTCTTTTATAACGACGGACTTCACTATTAAAAAAATATCGGACGGGACACGATGATAAAAAATAATAAACAAAAATTTTTATTTTTTGTTGTTATTCATGAATAATATTATTTTAAATCATGAATTTTTAACAATCAAATTATTATTTATCCGTGACAAGATTCAAAAGATTTTTTGATTTTGACCCATAAATACATACATCATACACTGAATAAAATTTATTTATGGTACTGTCATAAATATATCTAATTCTCACATATTATATAGTTGGATACGGAACTGCCATACAATATTGCTGTTTGCTGTTTTATAGCCATACGGAGTGTAGAACAGCCATATGTATGTGAGATACAGTAATGTGTATTTGGAGAACACCAATACTGTATTGCTGTTTCATCTGTACATCCTAACCATACTTGTATGTCAAAATTGACATTATCATTTTTTTCAGTGTACATTTTTAATTTTAATATACATATATATTTTTAATTTACCCTTTACAAGTTTGTATTTTTGTGGAGTTAAGAATGGCACCTCGGGGTTTTTATAGCATTTCTGCATACATCTAGAGAAAAGGACTTCTTTCCCCCAAAGGTGTTCTGCCATATCGCGAGTAAATTGAGAATCGTTTTTTGATAGCATTAGCTCCCATGTATCTTCATATATGGTGTATTCCTCATCATTATGGCTACCAACATATACCTGTTTTAAATTTTCATTTTTAAATCCTTATCACTTCATAATACAACAATTTTTTTATGATAATACCCACACGGAGAAAAATGGATAGTCAAATTTATTATCTAGATAATCATAGGTGATGATCTTGGATACTCAAGTATAGGACAACCATATTGGCAATGAAAATTACCACCGCGGGCTCGGTGTCGCTAGTGTTTTACACCAAAAATGGACGAAATGGGTGTACAAATTTAAAAAAATATAAACTTAAATTGTGACTTTTCGGTTTTAATTTTAAGTAGTTTTTCAATAAAAAGATAAATAATGAACAACAATCTTAACAAATATTTCTTAAACATTAGAATACTTTAAATATTAACATTTTTTTCAACCTTGTACACCCACAGCAGCCATTTTTTTTAGTTCACTTTATGGTCAATATGTGTCGTATTGCAATTTTAAATCCCCAATAGATCTAAATTATGTGTCTATTTAAAAATGTCTATGTAACATAATGTATAATAGGTCTGTTCTCGTTGCCTACACTTTCTTACACTTTAACTCCTAAACTATACTATTTTCTCTTATCCGGATGTGACGCAATTTCACTATACATTTCATTACAGTTTCTGCAACATGCTCTTGAGGTGGTGTAAAATTGTATACTGGTGCAGGCAACGAGAACAGACCTATTGTAAACATTTCGAATCACTGTTGCACTAAAAACATTTATTGCACTGAGTTTTTAGGTTATAGATCTACGACAAATGTTTCAAATTGATCGGTAATCAAACTTCTGCGCAAGCGCTCGGCAAGTTGATTATCCAGGATACACTAAGAAAAATAATATTGTAATGTTAACAAAATCGTTTTGTTGAGCACTTTTTGTTGAGATTACTAAAATTTGGTTCCCCGTACTAAATAATCTACATCATGAAGTAGTATAAAGAGACCAACAACCATGCAAGTTTTGTATTAAATGTGGGACAGATTTCTGTACCCGAATAGTGGGTGAAAAATACCGAAAGAAACACCAGCGCTGCATGTGGTTAAATTGTTGACTATATGAGAAGCACAAAACATAACCTATATTATTTGTTTGTTTCACTAATTCATGTGTGTCATATATGTTTTCATGTGTTCCTCATATTTTTTAAATATTATCAAAGTAAAATAATTATAGTGTTATTTTCAGTGTTATAATTCTATCAATTGTGAATGAACTGTGTTTTCCATTTTTCCCATGCACAGCGCTAGTGTTCCTTTCGGTATTTTTTACCTACTAAGCGGGTACCGAAATCTGGCCCATTTATAGGCCTTTCTCCAATAGGTTCCCAAAACTCTGCGTTGCGTCGGTTGCTATGGCAACATATGCTAAAATCAACAGAACACAGTCATTCGCAGACAAACGCAGAGTTTTGGGAACCTATTGAGGCTGCTTCTACAACAACTTTTTTTTCATCGACACGAACAAAATGCACTGTTAAAACCATGCAAAATAGTTGCGCGCACATCGTTTTCACGCTCATGTCGATGAACTAGTGTTAAAATTTGTTTTGAAAAATGTAGATATGTTCGACAAAAAAATTTGGTTCGCTCAACAAAACGGTTTTGTTGCACATATTTCAAAACAAAAGATTTTGTTTGCACAACAAAATTTTTGTTACAGGAACCAAAGTTTTCTCATTGTAATAAATTTGATTATCTATATATACTAAAATGGAATATATAATATATTTCAGAAAGATAATATTTCTAACTATACAGATAATAAATTTGATTATATATTTTTTAAATATCTACTTTATCCATTTTTTTCCGTGTAAGCTTGCAGCGTAAGTTTACCGCAAGCTTATCGTAGACAGTAGAGTGACCATGCATGCAATCTTTCCGTGAAATGTTTGTTGTAGGTTTACAGTGAAAGTTTTCTGTAAGCTTACTACACAAGATTTCTACAAGCTTATTAAAAGATTTTATTTTTAGTTTTGTAATTTTTTCTTTTTGATGATCTTTTTCTTGATATCCATTTTCATTAATTACTAGAAATGACGATTTTTTAAAAATATATCTAAATCAAATATTGGCTAAACGACTTCTTAAATATCTTGTTCTTTTCAAAATTTTATCATCTTTCAAAATATAAACAGAAAAAGAAATTAATTTCCATACATTTTATGTTTTAAAACGATTTTCATTCTCCTGAAAATGGGTGGTCTCTCAATTTTGACCGATAGTGTAAGAAAATTAAATTTATTTTATTTTACAAAGTACATTAATAGATAAATCTACAGAACCGATCGGTTTCATGTTACTGACAAATATTTCTGTTTTAACGTAATATATTGATTATTTTCATATCTTAACTGCTTCAGAAAATCTTCAAACAACTATTAAACTAAGAAAATTTAATAAATTTAAGCCTAGTTGCTTCTTATTAATATTAAAATAGAGTTAAATAATTAAAAACATGAAAATTGCAGTGTTACTCTATGGGTATACAAGATTCAATTCTTATGCGTATAATTTTTATGGTACAGAACGAAACAATTACAAACTATTGTAAATTATAGTTTACTTATTGTATAATATGTATCAAAGGCTGTGCTCTTAATTATAAAGAAGTAGTATTAGTAATTGAAAATAGCGTTACTCATTATTTTTTTTAATATTAAAATTTCTAAAAACTTTATAAAATATGTTTTGCTGAGATTAATCAATTACAGTCAGGCCTCCAACTGCACGCTTTCAAATAGAAAATATTATAATAATTATCACCTTACACTTGAACGTAAAGAACTATAAACTTAGCTTTTTTCCAGGAGCACATATTTGAAGATGGAAATAAAATAAATTTAAAACCTATTCAGTTGCCAAATTCCATCTTTAATTTATGTTTCATTTACAAAATATTTTTATCATTAATTCATTTGGTTCATGAATACCATTTCATTTATTATATTTGGATATACTTCCGAAAGCAACATAGCTCCGATTTAAACTTGATATACTTACGTAATTTTGTGCCCTGATTTCGAAAATCATTGTGAAAATTGGCTACTAGGTCATATTCATAGTAAAAACCATAAAAGAACACCATAAAAATGTTGTTTCCTGCGTTTAAGTCCGAAAAAACGCAAAATTTCAAAAAATTGTTCAAACAAAAGTTTTAGGTTTTAGTAAAACACATATTTTCTCTTCTATACATTTTTTTCCAATACTAAATACTTTTCGAGAACATCGTAAAAAACCATAAAGACTTTTTTAAAGAGAAAAGTTGGAAGAGAATGGGTCTGGGTGAGTACCTTGTAATACCAACAAGAAAGTCAATTTGACCTACAACTTTTGCTTGAACAATTTTTTGAAATTTTGCGTTTTTTCGGACTCAAACGCAGAAAACAACATTTTTATGGTGTTTTTTATGGTTTGTACCATGAATATGACCCAGTAGATAATTTTCACTATGATTTTCGTAATCAACGTACCAAAATACATAAAGAAACTTTATTTTGTTAAAATTAGATGTCCTTGGTGAGTACATTTTAACCAATTTTTATGGTATTTTATGGTTTTTTGCATTTTTCTCGAAAACTAACAATTTTAGGAAAAAATATATACAACAAAAAATGTTTATTTTTGTAAAATCTATATCTTTTGTATGAAACATTTTTTGAAATTTTGCGTTTTTTGCGAGTTAAACGCAAAAAACTACATTTTTATGGGTTTTACCATGAAGATGACCTAGTCCCCAATTTTCACTATGATTTTCGTAATCAGGGCACAAAATTACGTAAGTATACCAAGTTTAAAAAAAATTGGAGCTATGTTGCTTTCAGAAGTGCACCCTTATATTTTTTAAACTTATTGTGTTAACATTAATGTACGTCGTTATATCCGTTTCATGGTTAAAATAATTTAAGTTACAGAATTAGACTCATTCATGCTAAAGTAAAATTATATTTATTATATATTATATTGATTGAAGATAAATTAATATTAATTGTAATCGACAACTTCAAGTGACTCGAAATGAGTAATCGGCAACTTCAAGTGACTCAAAATGAGTAAAATGACATGGTTGCCCATTCCTGTCAGTCAATTCACAAGTGTCTAACCTAAAAATTCGTTTTTCATTTCTCATAAATGCGATAAATCGACTTCATGTATTAATGTTTTGACAAGTGCAACGTGTTTATTCATTATAAACAATTATTTTAATTCATATTTTTATGAATTATTCCCAGTTATTCCAATGTTATTGTAATTTTATCATAAACTTAAAATGATACCGTTTTTACTCATTTTGAGTGCAGGTAGGACAAAAAATAAATTAAGTATTAAGTGATAATTGGTTTGGAATAAATTTTGAAGAAAATGAACTATAAATAAAAGTTATGCTTACAATTTAAAAATTTACATTTTTACAAGTGAAAACCGACCAGTTCTGTAGATTTACCCATTTATAAATGTTAAGTTGTGATGGGGTGATTATGATATTTTTATTGTAAAAGAGATTCAAAAAAAAATTTTTTTTGAAAGTTTTTTTACAATGGCAGAGTGTCACCCCTTTGAAAGAAAGGAAAACATTAGGAAATTGCTACATCAAATTAAAAAAATTTGGGCATTTTACCCTAACGAATAACCTCGTACACTTTACCTCTACTTATTTACATACATAGAAAAGAAACCAACCTCTGAACCTTCTGTTGTGAACCTTCTTGGAGAAATATCACGCATTTCAGGTAATCCACCATAATTTCCCCGACTTTTTGTTCGCGTAAATCTTATTCTTCTTTTATCTCTTGTCTGCCCAGTAAGAAGACGGTAATTAAAAAAAAAATAATTCAAAATAATAAATAAACAAACATATAAAAACATAAATATTATTTATAAACATTTAATGATAAATAATAATAAATAAATAATTACTCAAAAATTTATTTTACATTTATATTCTCAATTTGAATTACATGCTCATCCTATTATCAGATATTAAAAATAACAAAATTCTTATCACTTTATTTTTTTGACTATCAGTGAGTAAAACATTGAGCAAGTGAATCGAAAAATATTTATGAATACCTTTCATTATAAAAATATAGAAATAATTAAAAAATTAATAGTTTTAATAATTAATTAAATAATAATTCACTTTTTTAAATTGAAGTACACTACCGTCGGGAATTATCGGTACGGCTGAACACGCACAGTCCAAAAACATATCAATCTTTAAATCACGATTTTTTTTGTAAAGACAAATGTCAGAAAATTAACAAATACACCATTCAAAAGATTATTAAATTATACGATTAACGATACATAACTGAAAATTTTAACAATTTATACAAAGATTGCAGCAATCGACAAATTTGAGAAAAAAATTTTAAAAATAATATTTTTTTAACCTCTGCACATGTTTTAAAAATTGTAGACAAAATTTGAAACTTACATAATAGAGCTGTGCAAAATAATTCAAACCAAACTTTTCGAATTTTTTCGCCTAGTTCGAATGTCGAATTTTCGACATCCGAGTCGAATTCTAAAATTCGACATTTCAGTCGCCTAGTTCGAATGTCGAATATTCGACATTTCGGCGCCTCAATATAGGGGAGACCGGGGCGTAATGGCTAGCTTTTCACTTTTTGTTATTTTACTCGGACATTTTTGTTCTAATTGAATGTTTATCTCCCAGAAAAGTTACTCTGGTATCTCAGCTTTCTGTTAAGACTACAAACGTCCCGATATGACTCTTACTTTTTATTCTACAACAGTTTTTCTGGAGCAATGCAGAGCTTCAAAATACGCCCCGAGCCGGGGTGTATTGGATAACTCTCGGGGCGTGATGATTGCTAATTATTATCTACAGTTTCCAATCATACTTAAACTAAGTGACAAGTAACCGCAAAAGCGAACCTACATTTCACCGATATGGCAGTTTGCTCTTTATACATAGCGTATTACATTAGCCAACACGCCCCGGGAAAAACTAGCTATTACGCCCCTGGGGTACTTGGCTAATATTTTGTAATTTTCTGTCAATACAGTAAGTGTGAATCAAATAGTTTTTTCTTTAAAGCTATTTTTTAAAAAATTAGACCGAAAAAATGAAAATTTTGAAAAGATACTTTCGTATATCAAAAATAGTTTTTCTACTATATTTATTACAATAGTGAATAAATATTAAAAAAAAATTCCTACAAACTTGCAGTATACCAAGTACAATAACTTGTCTATATCGAACGAAATTATTACGATTTACGGTTTTTAAATAAATTACAATTATTTTTACAATTTTTTCTGCAATTTTTAAAAAATGTGCAGAGGTTAAAAAAATTTCAAAAAAAATTTAATTTTTTTGTCAAATTTGTGCTTGCGTGTCCAGCAGTACAGATAATTTTCGATGGTATGTGTATATGTGACTGTCCGCGACAAAAGGGACCTTAGCTCCATGTAAATACATGGGAGCTAAGGTCCCTTTTGTCGCGGACAGTCACATATACCCAGGCGGAAAAGTCGGACGAATGTCGGAATTTACAACCGGCTGGGATCCGCGCCCGTACAGACCGCAAGTACCGACGGTCTGTACCGATTCGGATCTGAAAAAGCAACCGGCGCGGTACAGATTATGCTCCGACTGTCGGAACCGTCTTCCCACTTTTGTCAGTACTGGCTCGGTACTGGATTTCTTCCGCCGGCTGATCTTATTCTTCTGCGGCGTCGGAAGAATGACGGATATGTTAAGTCTGTACTGGCTCGGTGCTGGGCCGGATCCGACTGCGGATGTCGTCATTTATTGTCACATTATAAATCACATTATAAATTTATTTTCAATAAATGTGTCATAACTAAATAATTATTACAATAATTAATTGCATTATTTTAGAAAATAATGATTAATTAATAAATGAATTTAATCAAAATATTAAGTAATTATTTATTAAGAGTTTTTTCAAAATTAAGCAATTAAAAAAATTTGTTGTGCACTTATAGTTTATAATTATTATAAATAAATTTATACTATTAATATAAATTTATTATTATTGAGATATTATTAATTAATATTATTGAGAATTAATAATAAATTATTAATATTAATAAATATTAATATTCATGTTAATAATTTATTATTAATTCTCAATAATATTAATGTTAATTAATAATATCTCAATAATAATAAATTTATTATTATTGTGATATTAATTAAAATTATTAATATTATTATGTTCAATATTATTATATTGAGATACAATTATTTAATATATTAAATAATAATAAAAATATAGCTGTAGCATTGACGCGTAGTTATTCGACAAGTTTTATTTCAGCTTGTGACACTTGAGAGTATTTAAGATTTGAGAGTCCCATGCGAGCGTAGCATTGTGGTTAGCGTGCGAGATTTCGGTGCGTAAATATTCGGTTAGGCGTAGGTTCGTACCTCCAAGCGTTAGGATTTTTCAAATGTGTATGTAATAAAAAATTGCGTTTAAGTGTATAAAAAAATTTAAAAAATGTGTAAAGTGAACTGTCAATGAATTGTCATCAGTATTTATCTTTTGCAATTAATTATTATTTTTTTATTGATATTTGTTGAAATTATCATTTGGATCCGATCCGGTTGTCAGTCGGTAGAATGCCAGCGCTCGGCTGGCTATTAAATGAAAAATCCACGGTGGGTAGAGTGCCAGGTCCCAGCCGGTTGAATTATACACGGAACGGCTTCTCCCGGCCGGTCAGCGGGCGGTAGAATGCCAGTTCCGAGCCGGTTGCCAGCGCGCTCCTGGCCTAGTCACTATTCGGTAGAATGCCCGTTCACATTCGGTTGGCAGGCGGTTCCGAGCCAGTACAGTTACACCGGCGTCAGTACGGGCTAGGATCCGCGCCGGTTGGAAATTTCCGCCTGGGTATCTATTTGTAAGAATGCTGTCAGTAATTCAATCAGACTAAATGTTTCAAAAATTAATTATATAAGAATTGGTTATTTGCCGCTCGAAGGTCTTAAAATTATCTGAAATATGCAGTTAAAAAAAATACTTATTATGCATAATAACGCGCAAACACACGGCAAATAAGTTGGCTCCTTGAGATAAAATTTGGAAGTTGTTTAAAATTAATTTTAAATTATTGTTTCTTGTACAGAACTTCAATGCCAAACTTTTTTCTAATAAAAATTTTTTATATAATTTTTCATTTTCACGTAAATGAAAGAAAACGGTTGTTATAAATGAAGATTTTCATCCAATATTGATCAGTGTACCATAATAATAAAATTAATTTTCTTCTATATTTAAAATAATTTAACAATAATAAAATATTTTTTACATTATTAATAATGTCTAATGTTTGTAAACATCGAACACATTAACGTAAACAATATACATTGGTCTTGTAATGGCGGCCAGGCTACACGTGCGCCGTCACACCGCAATTTCACAGCAGAGCGTGACGCTGTTAAAATTGCTCTAATATTGTCTTTAATTTATTATCAAATAGCGAGATATTTTTAAAAAAAACTTCCTAACATATTAATGAACATTTTTGTCACTGGAAGTTTTCCGAAAACGAAAATTCGTCACTTAACTTTTTTTAATTGAAAATAGTATAATCATTTTTTCGACAAAATTATTTAAATAATTATTTACTTTGACATAATTTTTTTTTAAATTTACAAATATTGTTTCATTTTTTGAATAGTTTGAAGAATATTCTTTGTAAATTTCGTGGAAAAATATTAATATTTAACGAAGTAGTCACGAGTTGAAATAAAAAATTCATTAAAATTTCTTAACTCAAAAAAGCATGTTTTTTTCAATTTACGTGAAAACGAAAAATTATATACAAAATTTTTATTAGAAAAAGGTATCGCCTTCAAAGTCTGTATAAGAAACAATAATTTAAAATTAATTTTAAACAACTTCAAAATTTTATCTCCAGGGGCCAACTAAACTTATTTGCCGTGTGTTCGCGCGTGTGCCCTTTTAATATCCAGAACCTCATTTATATATAAATCTTAAAATTAATTAAAATATTATACTAAATAAATATTAATATTTATTTACCATTTGATATTTTAATGTTAATTATATTACTATTATTATTATTATTTAAAATAATAATAATTAATAATAATAATTTTTAAATAATGTTAAAAATAATAAAAAATTATCATAAAAAATATTATAATATTAAATAATTTATATTTAATATTAAGTGCACACGGTAATAAATAAACTAAATATTGTATCGAAATTGATTCAAGTTTGAATTAAGGGGTTATACACAGAGAAAAAAGAATAGTTAGGCTAACTGAATAAATAGTTAGACTTACTATTTGGCGTAGTAAAATATGGGAGCACTAAGCAGCGTAGTGACATGTACTACTCCGTCTAGTGACAGTGGGTTTTGTGAGCCTAACTAACTGGCGTAGTAAAACATACTACGCCATTATTTTAGTTTTACTACGATGGGTAGTAAAGAACACTACGCCTTTTAGTAACTCTTACTAAATATCGAGGTGAGTCTTACTGAAAGGTGCAATAAAACATACTATTTTGCTCGGTCAATTTGACTACGATTCTTAATTAAAAACACTACGCTGCTTACTTAGTATTACTAATTAACGTAGTTCGAGCTACTGAGTTTTTAGTTTAATGCTTCCAAATAATATAGTTAAAGATACTACTTATGTAGTATTCGCCATAGCAAGTGAAATAAAACATGGTACATTGTGTAAATAATAAAAGCATATTTATATTAATAATAATATAATTTATTTTGTACATACATATATATATAATGTTGTTTTCAACATATTAAATCACGTATTTTGAAAAAGAATAACTTAGCAATCCATTTTTTAAATTTAATTTAAACCATTTTCACAAAATTCATAATACACACACTTTTAATTGCTTCACAAATAAAAACATAGTCTGTAGAAAAACTTTTCTTCTTTAGCAGAAATAAATAGACACTATATACTTTGAATAATATTTCTCTCCAAATTTGAACTAATTAGAAATAACTAACTTGATTGGAAAAATCTCACAGTCCATGATTCAAATATAGTAATGTTTTACTAATAAAATACTTAATAGTAATTAATTATAAGTTAAATTTACACTTTCACATTAAAACACTGGTAATATTATAAATTTATTAAAGCTTAAATATACTTTGCAACAATTCACTGTGAAAAATAAGACTTGAATCTACGCAATATCTACCACTGAAGTTTGAAATATAATGTTAGGCGAAAGAATTCTAAGGGCTGAATAAGGAGAATATGAAGAAATGTTGACAGGAAAAATGTCCTTTCACTTTCCGTAAATAACCGAAAATGCACGAAACAAAAAAAACACATGTAAAAAAAATTACGAAGTCGTGGGTCAAAATACTTTGCCAAGGGTCCTATGTCTTTGTTCACCGCACGGCAACAAGATGTTTTCTGATTCATACTACAAAATGCTATATATGCCTTTTTAAGTACAAAAATATTTGTTAAACGTAATGTTTTGAAAAAACTTATTTTAATTAAAGGATAATTTTTTAAAATCAGTACTATAGTAAATATAAGTTTGTTATATAAAGTTATATAATTAAAATTCACCTATAAGTTATAACCGATCATAATACATTTTAATTAAAGTTATAGATATACTGCAAATATTTAAATATATACGCTTATTTAGAAAAGGGTTTATTTGACGCCAAATAAGATTAAAATAAACAAATAATAATTACAATTAATTAATTAATAATTAAAATTGATTAATAAAAATTTATTAATCTATAAATAATATATCAATATTATAAAACTATTGATAAAATCAAACATCAATATTTCATATACTTTATTTATTTATATTTAATATGCTAATAATAAACTATTAATTAAATGTCAATATTAACCCTTTATTTAGATGTAAATTCAATTACTAGTTGGGCTAAGTAACTATAACCTAGTAATTTGTAAGACTTACTAAACGAAGTAGTCTGTGGTACTATGCTTCCAAAATACTATGCTATTTAGTATGTCAAACTATCTGCGTAGTAAGACAAACTTTTCTAACGTTCACTAAGCAGCGTAGATTCTCTAACTAGTTGGAATAGTAAACTTGACTATTTTTATAGTTGCAGGAAGCGGTTATTCAGTTAGCCCGACCATTCCTCTTTAACTATTTCTGTTTAGTAAGACTCACTACGCCTTTTTTCTCAGTGTATGTATACAGTCAGGCAGTCGGAAAAATGCAGTTTTTTGGAATTTTTTTTAAAAGGAGTATTTATTTATTAAATTTAAAGTTTTCCTATAATGTTTTACATCTTTGAAAGTTTAAAAAAAATATTTCATTTGCAAAAATATTATTTTTTTGGCCTCTGTAGCTTATCTCCCCAAAATATCACTTTTTGACAAAATGGCAGCCAAAAAAAAGTTCATTTTTATGAAACAAAAAATCGTCTTCAAATGTTAATTAAAATTATAATTTCATTTAAGAAAACTACGATCAAGGACAACAAAAAGTCGTTGTTAAGCTTGTGCGAAAATTAGAGCTAAATCGGTTCAGCGGTTTTTGAGAAATCGTGTTCACCGACTTGAAAAACATAGTTTTATGAAAAGCGAGTTAAAAGACCCTGCACCTGCTCTACACCCCACGGCGTGCCTTTCTAGTTTTGTCTGCAACTTCGAAAATATTTCTCGAATCTTAATAAAATTTTTGTTCACAACATGCAAATATATATACTTTAAGAAAATGCAAAAAAAATCTATTTTTTGAAAATCGTGAATGCATATAACCCCTTAAGATTAGACGTTCAAGCTTCACTCATGTTGAACCAATATTTAGTGACAATGATATAAAAACTGCTTTAACTCTAGATTACCCACGCTGGGCGTCCAAGACTCAATTCAGCTTCAACCCATCGTCAGCATTGTTCTTTTGCGCCTGGGTGCGTATTAAAAAAAATTTATTTTTCTTCATTTTCTCATAGAGAGTGAAAATTTTTTGTCCGAACACAATTTGAGTTTTTTGATCTAGGACATTTACCATGCATGTATTTAATAAATTGAATAAAAAGAAACGTATTTTCCGTTCATGATATAAGTTAATGGTTTGGATTTCTAATCTGGATTTAAATATAACAGAAAAATTTTCACTTTTAAGTTAAAATAATGAAACTTTTCATTACTTGCAATTCACTCCTTCTTGTTGAGTTGTTTGATGATTCTGTATCTTCACGTCTATTATTTGTTTCCAAACTATTACCCCTGGCACCAGAAGTCTCCCCTTCTTCATGAACTTGTGAAGACGAAGGTTTAAATGTTTGTCTACTTTTGGTTTTTTTAGAATTTTTCTGAATCATCGAACCTGTTAAAAAATATATTTTAAATGATTCTAAATCTACAAAATTTAACATTTTATGGAAAAAAGACTAATTTGAATGTACATAGTGCATTTGAAAATTGTTCGAACTTGTGTGACGTAATATCTGAACCATCTTTAGAAGGGTTTGCTGTGACAGCGAACAGTTTGCTGCCACAGCAAACCTTGTTCGTTTAAATAGGTATAGCGAAAAAGTTCGCTAGGAGATCAAACAAGTTCGCTATGACAGCAACTCGCATAAATTTTTACTAATGTTTGCAGTCACAGCTAACATGTTCGCTACCAATGCAAACTTCTTAGCTGTGGTAGTTAATTTTCAGATATTTCACAGCAAACATCTGTTTATTGCTGCAGCTTATTTATTTTTCTTTATACCTCTGTCGAAAGTACGTACTTCTCTCTTAGACTTCGCTGCAGAAAGTCAAACATTAAGGGTGGAGTCCCATGACAGCGTTTTGCGTTGCGTCGTAATGGAAGAGAAAAAGACGCAAGTATACGTTTGATGCATTCTCTCTCATTACAACGCAAAGCAAAACGCTGCCATGGGACTGCGGCCTTACGCTTTCGTTGATATACTCACACGCCCTCTATTACAGCGGGAGTGAAAGAATTCTTTCCCAGTGGGCAAGAAACCATCATTGTTTTAAAAACGTTCCAAAAACGTTTCCAAGAACGTTTCATGTCTGCTAAATAACGTCCCAAAAACATTATATGGTTCTAAAACGTTTTAAAAGCAATGGAACGTTTTTGGGACATTGTGTAGCAGATATGAAACGTTCTAAAAACGTTTTTAAAACAATGATGGTTTTTTGCCCACTGGGTTGTCGGTAAAAATACCAATGTCGGTAAGTAAGAAAATTGTAAGTTCCAGAAAATTTAACGAATTTTTTTATTTTAATAGGTATATAAAATAAGAATAAAAAATAACAAGAAAATTTTATATTTTATAATTTTTTTTATACGTGCCACAATATTATAATAAAATGTTAATAATTTAAAGAAATAACGACATTTTGTTTATTAGAACGTTTAGAATTTCCGAAATATAAAATTAATTTTGTACGAACAAAAAAATTCTTTTGAGAATATATTATTAATTTATTTTGTTGCCCGTGTATTATTACAAATAAATCAATAAATTTATCTTTCACATTTTTTTTCGTGCCTGCCCCCAACCAGAAGCACTCGTTTCGCTCGTGTTTCAAATGTCGGGGCAGGCGTATGTTGAATGTAAAAGAGAGACAGAGAAAAAACCATAGCTTTACGAGCGTCCGCTACAGGCGTTGAAGCCTCTAGTTATTTGCAAGAATATTGTATAAATTTAGTTCGTAAACAATTTAGTTCAACTTACTACGATGAGATATTTTTTTTATTTTTCTTCTGCCCCCTTCCTGTATGCTGACAAGTGAGCCACTTTCATTTGATGAAGAATTTGACTTTTCAGATGAATCCTCGTTATCATTCTCCGAAAAGTTGCTGCTGCTGCTGCTGCTGCAAGAGACAATTCTACTTCTATCCTTTAACATTTTTTTTTTATTTTTGTCTAGATTTTCATCATTATCAGAAAACTTCCTTTTACGTTTCTACAAAAAAAAATAAATTTCATATAATCAACATATTAATTATAAAATACATTTAATATATTATTTATTGTATAATATTTTTTTATGTGAAATTAAATTTCATAAAGGATATTGGATTTAACTTATTTGAATTTGAATATAAAAAACATTAGCTTCATTAATAACATCACACTTCTGTCTCTACCTTTTCTAAAACGTGGTAATGAATGTTTGTCTGTATATAAGTATGCATGTCTCTGTCACAAAATCTTTGTGGACCAATCACATAAAAATGTCTGCATTGATTCAAATTAAATTCAACAGAGGGATAAACAATCATCTAATAAAGGTTTATAAATTTACAGATTTAAAAAATAATAATTAGAACGGGAAAAAGCAAACTTTTTTACAAAAATCGAAAAGTCATCAATTTAAAATAATTATTCTTTTTTAATTGAATATTGCTACACTGAGAAAAATGGATATTAAACTTTATTATCTAGATATTAATAGTCAATATCTGTGACAGTGAAATATGTAAACATCTTAGACATTCAAATTTAATATCTACAGATATTGGAAAAAGACTTGTTCAAACATAACCTCACATTTACAGATTATACTTTTTAACATCTGAGATATTAAACCATAACATACATCTGCATTAGCATCTTTTTTTAATATCTAGTATATTAAGATTTTTAATATCCAGTTTTCTCAGTGTATACTTTACGAAACTGTGAAAGCAGATTCACTAACTAACATTTCAAATTAATTGAAGGGCTACATAAGATAAGGGGACGAAAGCGTGATTGAAAGGGATAATATCAGTCCCCAGGCGCGAAAGACCAGTGCTGACGATGGGTTGAAACTTGACTGAGTCTTGAACGCCCAGCGTGGGTAACCCAGAGTTGAAGCAGTCTTTATATCATTGTCACTCAATATTGGTTCAGCATGGGACACCAATGTTCGTCCCATGCTCGACCTAACACTCGGTCAATCTTCGTGAGTGGAGCTTCAACATCCAGTCTTTATTCAAGCTTGAATCAATTTTGATAGTTTATTTATTACCGTATGCACTTAACAATATTAGATATAAATATTTATAAATTATTTAATATTAAAATATTATTTCTGATAATTTTTAGTAATTTTTTATACTATTTAAAAATTATTATTATTATTAATTATTATTAAATAATATAATAAGTATTATTATTATTGTTATTAAGATATCAATTGGTAAATAAATATTAATATTTATTTAGTGTATAATATTTATATTAATTATATAAGATTCATATCAATAAAGTTAAATTATTATATATTATTTTTTTTTTTGCACAGTGTCAAATTATTATTTCAAAGTTCAAGAGTTTCGTTTATCTGAAAAATTTTCAGTGAAAAAAATGTTCATTAGGTAGTAATAAATATTTATGCCTAGTAGTTTTACACTAGGATTAACTGTTTACTGAATATTATCAAAAATATATTTTTCGTCAAACGCGCGCGACTAAACACAAATAACCTTGAGACTTTACAGCGCGACGTTGCGATTGTCGTGCTCCCACCATCCCATCTACTCAATGCTTTCCCCTCATGACGTCACAGGCGGGGAGTGCATTGAGTAGATGGGATGGTGGTATTTGTGTTTAGTCGCGCGCGTTTGACGAAAAATATATTTTTGATAATATTCAGTAAACAGTTAATCCTAGTGTAAAACTACTAGGCATAAATATTTATTACTACCTAATGAACATTTTTTTCACTGAAAATTTTTCAGATAAACGAAACTCTTGAACTTTGAAAATAATAATTTGACACTGTGCGAGAAAAAAAAATAATATATAATTTAAGTTATAAAATTATTAGAAAAAATATTTTAATATTAAATAATTTATAAATATTTATAGATAATATTGTACAGTGCACACGGTAATAAAGAAACTGAATATTCCCAGGCGGAAAAGTCGGACGAATTTTGGAATTTACAACCGGCTGGGATCCGCGCCCGTACAGACCGCAAGTACCGACGGTCTGTATCGAATCGGATCTGAAAAAGCAACCGGCGCGGTACAGATTCCCAGGCGCGAGCTGACAGTGAGTTCAGGCTTTACGAAGCTTGATTGAGACTTGGTCAGTATTGGTTGAAGATTGGTGGGACAGCGAAAGCAAGGCTACTTGAGTCCGGAATAGTAACATCGATGTAAACCTGACGCTCAGTCTTTGTTGAAGACTGGCGTTCAATCTTCAATCAATGCTGCGGAAACCGAAAGCAGGACTGAACAAGACTGCTTCCACTGTTCCCAAATTTACACGCTTCTCACGCGTTCATTCAATATAACGTGAATATATTAATTATTATTATTAATAATAAACAGTATTGTTATTAATATATATGTATTTACATATTTAATGACAATAAGTTATTATTATAATAATTATATTATTTTCATATAAATATTATATGACTAACAATAAATGTCATTTAACATAATAATATTGAAAAATAATTTTAGCAAAAAAAAAACACAATTTGTGATAATTTGTACATTTTTTAACTTCATTTTTGACAGACTTTTAATATTATTTACAAACAAGTTCACAAGTTTTTATTCACAACACTTATTAATTATACAGATTAAATAGTAATTTTATTATTTTATGTAACCGCTTATAATGAAAAAATCCGCTCGCATGTAGGATCGAACTCACGTCCCCCCGCCCCAAACGCATTCCGGAAGTCCTAGACGCAACCACTTAATCCGCACGGCCACTGAGTCTCGATGAGACCTCGGGCTAATGTAATATATTAATGCCAGTGCCGTATACTTTGTTACTTATAAGGGCAAAGTGAAAACTATGACTAAAAATTTTACACATACTAATCCTGAATTATTTTAATTATTAAAAATAAATATTAAATAATTCATAATAAAATTGTAATCATTACAAAATTCAACTTTTAAAACATTTTACAATTAAAAATATTTAATGGATAATTTAATAAACATCGATAAATAATTGATATTTTTTATTATTCAGTAACAAAATTATTAACATTTATTATTAGATATATTAATAATATATTATGTAAATAAATATAATTTGGAATAATAATGAATTATAATGTTAAATATTATAATTATTATTAATTATAATAATATTTATTAATTGAATAATAATTATTAAAATTATAATAATTAATAAATAAATAAATAATAATTAATTAAATTAATATTAAAAGTTAACATAATTAATAAAATGATTAAATATGATGCAGTGTCAGGAATATTTATTGCACATTTTAATTATTATTTATTAATTATCTATAATAATTTTGAAAACATTTATAAAAAAAAATTTTCCATTTAACTTTCTTTAAATATGAATGTTACAATTAATAATATATTTATTTATCAATTGATAACTTAATGTTAATTATTATTATTATTATTTGAAACAATTATTATAATTATAATTATTATAATATTATTTAATTAAGTGAACACGGTAATAAATAAAGATAAACTGAATATTGAGTAAAGATTGATTCAAGCTTGAATCAAGATTAGATGTTCGAGCTTCACTCATAAAGACTGACCGAGTCTTGAATCGAGCATGGGACGAGCATTGGGTCCAATGTTGAACCAATATTGAACTAATATAAATTGACAGTGATGTAAAGACTGCTTCTACTGTGAGTTACCCACACTGAGCGTTCAAGACTCAATCAACCTTTAATCTATCGTCAGCATTGGTCTTTCGCGCCTGGGTTATGCTCCGACTGTCGGAACCGTCTTCCCACTATTGTCAGTACCGGCTCGGTACTGGATTTCTTCCGCCGGCGGATCTTATTCTTCTGCGGCGTCGGAAGAATGACGGATATGTTAAGTCTGTACTGGCTCGGTGCTGGGCCGGATCCGACTGCGGATGTCGTCATTTATTGTCACATTATAAATCACATAAATTTATTTTCAATAAATGTGTCATAACTAAATGATTATTACAATAATTAATTGCATTATTTTAGAAAATAATGATTAATTAATAAATGAATTTAATCAAAATATTAAGTAATTATTTATTGAGACTTTTTTCAAAATTAAACAATTAAAAAAATTTGTTGTGCACTTATACTTTATAATTATTATAAATAAATTTATACTATTAATATAAATTTATTATTATTGAGATATTATTAATTAATATTATTGAGAATTAATAATAAATTATTAATATTAATAAATATTAATATTCATGTTAATAATTTATTATTAATTCTCAATAATATTAATAATTTTAATTAATATCTCAATAATAATAAATTTATTATTATTGTGATATTAATTAAAATTATTAATATTATTATGTTCAATATTATTATATTGAGATACAATTATTTAATATATTATATAATAATAAAAATATAGCTGTAGCATTGACGCGTAGTTATTCGACAAGTTTCATTTCAGCTTGTGACACTTGAGAGTATTTATAAGATTTGAGAGTCCCATGCGAGCGTAGCATAGTGGTTAGCGTGCGAGATTTCGGTGCGTAAATATTCGGTTAGGCGTAGGTTCGTACCCCCAAGCGTTAGGATTTTTCAAATGTGTATGTAATAAAAAATTGCGTTTAAGTGTATAAAGAAATAAAAAAATGTGTAAAGTGAACTGTCAATGAATTGTCATCCGTATTTATCTTTTGCAATTAATTATTATTTTTTGTATTGATATTTGTTGAAATTATCATTTAAATCCGACCCGGTTGTCAGTCGGTAGAATGCCAGCGCTCAGCTGGCTATTAAATGAAAAATCCGCGGTCAGTACAGTGCCGGGTCCCAGCCGGTTGAATTATACACGGAACGGCTTCTCCCGGCCGGTCAGCGGGCGGTAGAATGCCAGTTCCGAGCCGGTTGCCAGCGCGTTCCTGGCCTAGTCACTATTCGGTAGAATGCCCGTTCACATTCGGTTGGCAGGCGGTTCCCAGCCAGTACAGTTACACCGGCGTCAGTACGGGCTAGGATCCGCGCCGGTTGGAAATTTCCGCCTGGGTTGTATCAAGATTGACCGAGTCTTGAATCGAGCATGGGACGAACATTGGTGTCCCATACTGAGTGACGGCACTGGCATTGATATAGTAGATTAGGCGAGAAGCCTTCCAGCCTTCTGTGGCCGAGCGGTTTAAATGTCACAAAAACACAAAACGTAGGTCGACGAAATGAATATACTCTGTTCGACATCACAAGACTAACGCCAAAATGTACTAGGCGCTCTTTATTTATTTATTGCGTTATATTTGTAAAAATTCTATTATTTGTTTAAATAAATGAAAAAAAAAAGCGGTTTAAATGCGTGCGTTAGTATGTATATATACACACATACATGAATTAAAATAATAACAATAATATTTATTATTATTATTAATAATTCATATATTCACATTATATTGAATAAACGTGAGAAACGAGTAGGGAACAGTGGGAGCAGTCTTGTTTCAGTCCTGCATTAGGCGTCCGCAGCATTGATTGAGCATTGGTGCCAATGCTGAATCAAGGCTCGCGCTGCAGTCTGGAATCGGTGTTACATTAAAGCTTCGATCATTCCTGCTCTCGCTGATACACTCATGCTCAATCAATGTTGACCAATGCTCGGCCAATCTTTATAAAGCCTGAACTCGGCGTCACTTCGCGCCTGGGTCAGGTAGCAGCGAGCGGCTCAAGGCTTATCACTGCTACCCGACTGGTAGTATCCCTTCCAAGCCTCGCGATCGTCCCCTTATTTTATGTAGCCCTTTAATTTAATAATAATGACTGGAATACACTTTAAAATTTTAGACAGAAGAAAAATGTATTTGAAAATTTATTAAACCTACTTTTTTGTTGATCATATTTGCGATAAGGGTGATTTTAGAAATGAATATATCAAAATATATTATAAACAACTGTTAAATTTTCGTATTTACAATTTTCTTAGGGTAAGGAAGGGGCCCCAAGGTGGCATACCACACGGAGAAAAATAAGTTTGCTATTATATGGATAGCTAATTTTTAGCTATTACAGCTAATAATTAGCTGTTTTAGCAAAAAAAGTTAGCTATTTTAGCTAATTATTAGCTGCATTAGCTAACAAAAATTGCTATCCATATAATAGCAATTAAGGTTAGCTAAGGTAGTTAAACATTAGCTGAAATAGCTAACTATTTTTCTCCGTGCATCTTTTGAACGACTATAATTCCAAAACGGTATTATATAACATAATTAATAATAATATATGCCCTGAAACTGTATGTATCTCCTTAGCTAACTTTTTACTCAAAAAATTTTGTTATTTTACTAAGGAAAATAAAACTTAGACGACTTTGGAAAAACAGCTGAAATTTTGCTTTAAAAAAGGGGCCTGAAGGTGGCCATAATTCAAAAATTCACTGAAAAATTAAAAAAATAGTTGCAAAAATCAATTTAAGGTAATTTTATTTGAAATGTATTGTTTTTGGCTTATAATCACAGAGTCAATAGATGTTAACTCTGTTTTTTGCTTATAAGAAGTAATATTAAAATATTGTTAATTATTTATCCTATTTCATACACTAAAAACTACACGGAGAGACCGAGATTACTAATTTTTGTATAAAATCACACTAGAATTTACTATTTTCACATTGCAACCACCGGAAATAAGGGGACTTTTTGTATTTTTTACTATTTTCTACACTAAGTCACTAATCCTGACAAATGTTCACCAAATTAGCAAAGTTTCTTACTATTTCGTCCAATAGTTCCAAACAACTGTAGTAAACTCAGAAGTATTGTGTACGTAAAATTACTATAGTCGTTTGTAAATGCAGAAAGAAAGAATGAAAGAAAAAATATGGATTTTTGTCGCCGGTTTCCCGTCAATTCTTGACTAATGGAGGTAAACTGGAAGGATTTTTACATACACAGACATACACACACTTATATATTTGTTGGATAAATATTTTAAGACACACACATGTTTATTTCACTTATATGTATAGACGCGGTTAATTAATACACTAATACACAACTGCACGCACGACAACGAATTTCACTGAAAGCATACATCTTTGTTTCCTTATATATTGAATGATGAAAATTTACAGCACTTACGAGAAAGCAGTTTACTTTTAACAGCTTATTATGACATAGTTCTTGGGACAGGAATAAATGCAAAATTTATTAATTTGTAATGGTCAATTTCTGAGATAACGAACGACCTACGTTTCACTTTATATTGAATTATTGTAGATAATATCCAAATTTATTTTACATACGCGAAACATATAGTCACTGTCAATGATCGGATAACATCGGCTCATTTACGGAGATTGACGAAGTTAGCAACCAATAGAAATGCAGGCGCCATATGACTGCGCTTGCTAGCCACACTTGCTCACCAAAAATTACTACAGTGGATAGAAAGTTTTAGTGGAAAATGTCTTCATTTGTCAGATTTTGTCTAATTAAATTAGAGAAAACTATAATCAATTTTTGCTACATTTACAACTCTTACACAAAATATTAAAACTTGCTATTTCAATGTAGCAAATTTATTTATTTCTTTTGTAAATTTATCTAATTCTGTAGTACATTATGCTAAAAGTCCCCTTATTTCCGGTCATTGCAACCATTTTTATTAATTTTTGCAAATGTGGGTCTCTCCGTGTAAATTATTTTTTGCAACACTTACCTCTGAAGTTAAATTTTATACACCGAAAAGTATGTATAAAGAACCTCTTTATAAAACGGTGTGTAAAGTGATTCACTTTACGCACTGTTTTGTATGTTTTAATGATTATGCGTGTGTATGTATATACTATTTATGTTTATGTTTTTTTATGTTTTATGTTTAATTTTCCCATAGTTACTACATTGTATAAAAATGTTGCCCAAATATTATCAATATTTTTGCAAAATTCGGTGAGGGGGGAGGTGAGTGTTGCAAAAAATGTTGTATGACACTCGTATAATCACTCACTTTACGCACTTGTATCATAAATAACTATTATGAATCATAAAGTTTTCCAAATCGATCAAATTTAAATTTTCCATAATATATTTTGATAAATATTACATCGGAAAAAATGCCTTTACATCTGTCATAAACAATGAAAATAACCTGAAGGTAGACGGATAGAATTTATATTGGTTTTTTTTATACAATTTTCAATTTTTTACTACTTATATTGACAAATTATACAAAAAGAAATAAATTTTGAGAAATGTACTGACAAAAAGTTTGATTTTATTAATATTGTGACGTTTTACAGTGAAAGAGACATTAGCTGAAAAAAATTAATTAGAGTTATGTAGATATTACCTCTTTCTGTGGTTTTTTAGTTTTCTGTGACTCTTGTTGTAACGACAAACTAAAGTTCCTTCTATTTGGAAAATTTATCCTTTTTTTTATTAGTTTCTTCCAAATTTTCGATACTTGCTGAAATTTAATTTCATTAATCTGTCATTTAAATAATAGCAATTAGTCTAAATACATAGGCACACCAAAAAAAAAAAAAGGTCAAAATCCAGAGACACACCTCCATATCCCTATGTTTTTGGGATCGCTGAAACCGAATATGACCATAACAAATCAGAAATTATATAGTATTATGCTGAAGCTGCTGAAGTAATCTACTGGCGCAATACAGCGCCTGTGGGATTGACAAGGCTTGGGTGGACACTAAAAAACTAGTGCTGGTATTTATACCGCATTAGTACTGCAGTGCCAGTACTGTGCCAGCTTTGAATTAATACTGATGAAAGACTTTATTTGCTCTTATACATCATTTTCTTGTAATTTATTACAAAATTGTTTATATTGTGGCCTTGGGTCCAAAAGATTTGAAGAAGTTGTTAAATATCAGTAATTATTTCTTTATTTCATCGAATGCATTTTCACTGTGAACACAGCTAATCAGGACACATTTTTCAATGATACAAATTTATAAAATTTTAAATTTACTTTGAGGTTATGTTGGCCTTTAAAACTTCTTTAATTTTAATTTTTTAAAATTTTATAAATTTGTATCATTGAAAAATGTGCCCTGATGAGCTGTGTTCACAGTGAAAATGCATTCGATGAAATAAAAAAATAATTGCTGATATTTAAAAACTTCTTCAAATCTTTTGGACCCAAGGCCACAATATACACTACTGAAAATCCCTGTATAAGATCTTGTACAAGAAAATGCATACGTTCAGCAGCTGAACTTGTACAAGAAAATGTACAATTTCTTGTATACGGATTTGAAACAAGTTCTTCTATTGGAACTTGTACTAGAAAATGTACAAGAAAATGTACAGACTTGTACAAGAAAAGAAACTAGTACAAGAAAATGTATATGTTCTTGTGTACAGGTTCATGTACAAGTACTTGTATATATGAACACGTTCATGTTCTTGTAAATTTTCTTTACACATTATTTTTAACGTGTAAAAATTATAAACATTAAAGGCTGCGCAGTAGTTTTTATAAGCCTTTAGAGCTGCGCAATAGTTTTTAGCTTGCCTAAAGTGAAGAGTCTTAACGATTAGAAGTTATTAAAATGCCAATTTAAAAAAAAATTATTTATAAATTTACTAATTCCAATTTTCTAAAAAAAATTTATTTATAAATTTACTTGTACAAGAACAGGGTTGCCACAGGTCAGGGAAATCAGGGAATTCAGGGAAAAGTCAGGGAAAGTAAAATTGGTCAGGGAAGTCAGGGAAAAGTCAGGGATTTTTATTTAAGTAACTGGAAAAAATTAAATTTTGGAGAAGTTACAAATAATTGCAGAAATTCAATTATTTTCAAAAGTAATAAAATTCTTCTCAAAAATTCAATTATGTTTAAAAATTAAAAAAAATTCTCGTCAAAATTCAATTATCTTTAAAAATAATAAAATTCTTCTCCAAATTTCAATTATTTTCAAAAATTTTAATAAAATTCTTTGCAAAATTTCAATTACTTTCAAAAATTTTTTCTCAATTCAATGATTTTCAATATCTACAGTTTTAATAAAATTTTTCAAAAGAAATCAATTATTTAAAAAAAAATTTTTTTGATAAAATTCTAAGCAAAAAATTTAGGTAATTTTTAAAAAAAATTTTAATGAAATCCTTTATAATAATTAAATTGTTTTCAATATTATTTGAATAACATTTTTTGAAAGAATTGAATTATTTCCATAAATAATATACAATTTTAAAAGAAATTGAATTATTTAAAACACAATTTTTATAAAATTTTTTCAAAAAAATTTCTTCGAAAAGATTTTTTTTAAATTCTTCTCAAGAATGTAAATATCTATTTAATATAATTAATTATTAGTTTCAAAAATTTTATAATAATTCTTCACAAAAATTCAACTATTAAAAAAACATTAAAAAATATTCTTCTCAAGAATTCAATTATTTTCAAAAATTTGAGTAAAACTCTTGTCAAGAATTTAATTATTTTCATAAATAAATAAAATTCTTCTCAAGAATTCAATTATTTCTATAAATAATAAAATTCGTTTCAGAAATTCAATTATTTTCATAAATAATAAATTTTCTCAAAAATGCAATTATTTTAAAAGAATTTTATAAAATTCTTCACAAGAATTCAACTATTTAAAAAAAAATTTATAAAATTCTTCTCAGCATATCAATTATTTTCACTTTAAAATTTTAATAAAATTTTTTGAAAGAACCCAATGGGAAATTTACAACTGGCGTAGTACTGCGCCAGCACTGGCAGCACTGGCGGCAAGGCTGAGAGCCAGCACTGGCATGGCACTGGGATGATAACGCCGTCTGGCGCTGCCGAAGTACTGTCTGTCAGTGCTGCCAGACAGCGCTGGCGCAGCACTGGACCAGTGCTGGCTGAGAATATTGCCGCAATAAATGCCGTATTGTTATTAATTAGTCGTAAATTAATAATTATAAATAATTTAACAACAAAATGGTGAATAATATTAATAAATAGTTATTATTCATAAAATATTTCTCTTCTTAAAGAAATTGTATTAAAGATGGAGACTAACAATGTAAAGGAAGTAGAAAAAAATTGTTTATAACATTTAAAAATTAAATAATAAACAATTACAGTAAGTGTGCATTAGATTTTCATATTTTAGTACCTAAAGATTGGAATCTAGAAATATCGCAAACCTATGAAAATAAACAAAATTGCTAACGAGGGGAATCGAACCTACAACCTACGGACTAACAGACTAACGCTCTAACCACTATGCTAACGACACATGTGTACAGTAAAGTATTAATATCTCAGTATCATTCAGACATGCAATTATTGAGTCAAAGATGAGAAAAAAATAGGGATACGTTAGAAATAATAAATTGAAATAAAATAAATTAAACTAAATTTTTAATAGTAAGAAGTATAATAGTATTTTAATAGGAACCAAATTATTATTGAGATTAAAGTTTAAATTTTGTTTATAATTTTAATTTGTTTAAATAATTTATTATTTACAAAATTAGACAATTGTGTTAAATTGTTATTATTCAATTTAATAAGAATAAAAAATGAACAACTGAAAAGTAAAATATTAATTTTTTCAATAAATTTATATTTATAAACATTCATAAACTTTTTTTATAATTTTTTTCAAGTTTATGTCAAAAAAGCAATGTTGGCAAAGAGCGTCGTGAACAATTTTTCTATACTCAGCCAGCACTTGCCGCCGTGGCTTGTCCAAGCTTTGGCGAAACAAAAATTCTGTACTGCGCCAGCACTAATTGTCGAGGCTCGGCTATAATACGCCGAACAATCGTCTGAGTACTAAGCCAGTGGTAAACATCGGCACTACACTGGCATTTCCCATTGGGCATTTGCAAATCGAATCGAACGTATCTTGCGTAGATAATAATTTTATATTCAGACACGAACGTAATGTACTTACACTTTACGAAATTTAAAATGCGAAAGTTTTTTATTCGTTACAAATTTTTAATTCTTAATATTTACAACAATAATAATATTTATAATACTTATAATTTTATTATAAATAGTCGCTATTTATCAATTTTAGCTACACATTTACAAGTAATTTTTTGATTTGCAAAAAATAATTTATAAGAAAATATAAACTCATTGTAGTGCTTAAAAATTTTGAATTAATTAATTAATTAAATTAAGTACAAAATTAATTTCAAACTTTATTATTAATAAATATTTTAAATAATTAATTTTCTTGAATATTATACGTGATTAAAAATAGTTATTAAATAATTAATTGTCAATTAGGTAGAAAAATGTTTTTATTTATTTTTTATTTAGAGAAAATAGATTTGAAATTTAAAATATCATATTTAACTTGTATTTTTGCATGCATAAACATGGTTAAGCGATATCACATTTTTATTAATCACAACAGTTTTTAATAATACTGCGTTTTTGGCTATACTTATTTTTTATAATAACAATTTACGATGAATTTATAATCACATTTGGTTTGCATTTTTGACTTAGAAAACATTTCGATTACTAATAATTATATTTATTATCTCATCTTTAATAATATATCATTATTAATAAAATTATTTTAGTAATAAAGCATTTATAATATACATGACACAATCAACTAATATGACAAACCACGGTGTGAATAGTAAATATGCGCATGTGCAGTAGAGAAAATCCAGTTACGCTTTTTTAGATTGTAAAGTGACTGTTTTTGTCAGATACGGTAAATTGTTTTTAAAAAATTAAGTAGTTTTTAGTTTGAATTTTAATTTTTTACGCATGTTTATAGTTAATAAGGGTAATAACAAAGCTAATGCTGCATTTATTTCAATTTTTATAAAAATTGCAAATACGCTTATTTCGATTTGCACGGCAGACTTGACTCCCGAACTTCTCGTTATAGCGAGATTCGAGTGTAAATTATTTTATTAAAATCATTACAAAGTTTAAGTAAACAAACAGAAACATAGACCAGCTGTCCTGCATATATTAGTTCCAACAGTGGCGCTGCTTGAACTGTTTGAATCGCCAATACCGCTCACGAAAAAATATACTGCTATTAGCCAATAAAAAGAAATATTCAAACTACTCTTACTTAAAGAAAGAAATTTTTTATTCATTGGTTTAGTTAAACAAAATGGATAAAATAATTAATATTTAAAAAATAAAACATAATTATAATCCCAACCCACAAAAGAAAAAATAAAGGCTGCTGAACAATAGAAAATTAAATTGAAACTCCTATTTTTTCGGAAAGGGTTATGGATAAATTTTATGTTTTTAAAATTATATATGTTCTTCCATTTTATCAACTGAACCAACAAATCAAAAAATAGCTTTCTTTAAGAAGGAGGAGTTTAAATTTTATTTAAATTGGTCTAAATCGTCCATTTTTTCATTTGGGGGTTGGAAATATATGTTATATTTCTTAAATATTAATTTTATCTCCATTTTGTTTAACTTTACCAACAAATAGAAAAGTT